GAAAGAGGCTAGCTACAATGCAGGCCATGAAGAATGGGTTTTAGGAGGCATTGTTTTTTCCATGTTATAAGTAAAAACAACAATTAGGGTGACGATTGGGGAAGTTCTTTAAACCTTCCTAGGGGAGGACGCTTCCTGTCCCTCACAAATCTGGTCACCTTCTGAAAAGCGTGTGTTCATAATCTCTATTGACACCTATTTATCAGTGCCTTGCTAAATGTTGCTACCAATAAGCATTTCAGTTCTGAGACGTTGGTGCCCCGGCTGTTTGACTCATCACTGCTACGTTAGAAAAAAAGTTTACAACCTGGTTTCCTGGTGCTTCACCTGCAAGGCAGAGACTGTATTTTAATACCTAGGTACATCAGGCCAACACTCTGCTACCCTGAGCCCAACGCACATAAAAATACACGCTGACTTCACTTCTCCTTGCCAACCCTACTTCTACTATCAAACAGTCAGTGAAAAAGGCTTCTTTAATAACTAAAAAGTGTAATACCAGACAGGTTTATCCAATTCGTCTTGACAGCCAGCACTGACACCATTTCCAGAGGATTCACATCTTTTGCAAGAGTAATTCTTGTTCGGACCATTCTCAGCGGGGGCTTTCCTCTACCCGCGGTTTAGAAACACTTCCCAGTAATGGTTAGTAACCAGTCTGTCCCCAGTTCAGGCTTCTTTCACCCCCATCTCCTGGTAAATGTGTCCCTTCCCATCCTATGGGCAATCCCTACCTTCCAAATGAATGGATTTCACAAAGCAGCCGCTGTCGTGTCCACTCAACTGAATTTTCCTCTCTTACTCTCCCAAATCCACCGTCCCTCTCGGTATTCATCTTCTGCGATTAACCTCAGCCTTCCCTAAAACTAGTAGCCATTCTTACAGCAAGAGCTGACAACCAACCAACCAACCTCTGACGCCAACTTACAGATAAAAATACTATTTGTAGTTCCCACCTTTCATTGTCTGCTACCATCTCCTTCCCAGCCATTTCCAAACAAGTGTTGAACTTCCTCAGGACATAAATGGACAAATTATGAATCTAGCTAGTGAAAACTCCCCACTCTGTAATTCGCTGACACAAATGAGATTATATTTTATCCTTGAGGCCTGTGCCTCTACCCCCCATGTATTCCTGTACACTCCGGATATCCAACAAAACATAAAGTACTAATAGCCTAAAGTAAATATCCTATTGGGGGCAGGTCATGTCAAAAGCTGAGTGAGGCTCAGGGAGCCCATAGGCTTGGAGACAGTAAGGGAGGGCCCATCCCAAATGGCAAAGTAGATGCCAGCTTCTGGGGAGTTCCCACAGAGGGTTAGTCACTGAGGGCCTATTGAGACCTCTGGGAAGCTAAGATACAGCAAAATCAACCCTCTGAATCTTATGGGAATCCTGTCCCTGAACAGAAGACCTCCACATTATTATTATTTGCGGGGGGGGGGGGGGGGGGGGAGATATAGGGGAGAGT